ATTCCATATCTTACTTTGATACAGATTTGATGATTTAAGTTTATTACCAAAAATGGTCTGTTCTCATTATGGAAAAATCAGAAAGGACAGAAGAACAGCTACAAAAAAGGAATAGAAAGAGCATCTTTCCCTTCCAGGGAAAACTGCTAGTAACACTTTGGTATCACCTGTCTGATTCTTTGTGTTCATTTATATATATAGGAAAATAGAATCCTAGTTGACATTAAAATTTGTAAGGATTACAGTCAGGGAAGGAGTAATAAGTTGAATTTTAAAGATATTAGAAAAGGTTTTAGAAAAGCTGACAAAAGTATTTTAAAAAGCATAAAGGGTTGGAAAATTATTGTGTACCCCCAAGATACCAATTTCCACAAACAAAATAAAATTATTAATTGATAGCAGTCATTGCTATTCATCAGATTAGCCTAAGTTTTTTTTGTTTGTTTGTTTGTTTCCCCAGTTTTGTTCAGTCTGGATTGTTCATCATTTCTTATGTGCCAAAGTAAGAGAAGTGGCTTCTGTCAGGTTCCTTAAGATATGTGCAGTCTATTTATGATTGTTGTTAGTTGACACTGACTCCATTTGGACTCATGGTGACCCTGTGTGTGCTGAGTCAAACTATGCTTCGTAGAATTTTCAAGGCTATGACCTTTTGGAGCTCTGGTAGCATAGTGCCTAAGGCATTTGACTGCTAACCAGAAGGCTGGCATTCAAACCCTCAGAAGGAAGGTTGGGCAATCTACTTCCATAGTGATACCATCTCAGAAAACCTAGGAGGGGTCACTGTGAGTCAGGCCCAACTTGATGGCCAACATGACCTTTTGGAAGCAGATTGCCAGGCCTTACATTGATTTGTTTCTGTGTAGGTTCAAACTGCCAAATTTTTGGTTACTAGTCCAGTGTTTAACCATTTGTACCATCTAGGGACATCTCTATGATAGAAGAAGGTTATCAGGATAATTGTGAAACCTTCCTAACAGTTCTACCAGGTACAATCCTTTTGTTTTGTTTTTAGAATTATAGCTGAATAGTACTATTGAAGTACATCTTTGCCACTCTTCCCTTACTTAGCCCACACCTCATTAACACCTTCCAAAAAAGTGAACACTTATTACTACTGTGGTAAATTTCCCTTTCCATGAAATTCATGTGATTCTGCATTTTCTCAAATTTATCCAGCTACCTCATTTAACTGCTAACTGTGGCACTGTATCAAATATTAGGTGCTCTTACCTTTGTCTTCTCTTCTGACATGATCATAAACTTCTTAAAGGCAAAGTCTTCTCATCTCCCCACATTGCCCTGAAGGGTCAGTTGCAGGTCTTGTGGAATGAATGAATGAACGAATGAACCAATAAGTGAACAGTTTTTGTGTGTGTGATTTTTGACAGCTAACTACATGCCCAGCACTGCTTTCAGGGACTTTTGTGGATTACCTTGTGTACTTGGAGAAGGGAGTTCTAGCCAGGACCCTCTGAGGTCACATGAATGCTTTATCATCCCTATTTCAAGTCCTACTTTGATTGGTAGTCTTTAAGCTTTGTATCTGATTATCACTGTTGGGAGGTGTAAAATCACAGACTCAGAATTCTGGACTTGCTAAATAATTTAGGGATCATGTTATTTACAGCCAAGGAGACAGGCCTAGAGGGATTAAGAGGGCTGCCTAGAGTTGCATATCTGCTTCGTTGCAGAACAAGGATAAGAATGCAGGTTTCTTGAGCCCAGACCAGCGTTCTTCCTACTTGGCAGCACTCTACTGTGCTCCCACAGCCTTACTTATAGCTAGTTGCCTTCCCTTTGATATTAATAAATGCTGATATTATTGATTTTTATGATCATGTTAATTTTATATTAATTATATTGATGTATTATATTAATACAGGCATGCCTTGGAGATAATTGTGAATTTGGTTTCAGATCATCTCAATAAAGTAAATATCGCAATAAAGTGAGTTACACAATTTTTTTGGTTTCTCGGTGCATATAAGAGTTATATCTGAACTATACTGTAATTTGTTAAGTGTGTAACAGCATTATGAAAAAGTTTGAAATATTGTGAGAATTCTCAAAATGAGACACAAAGTGAGCACAAGCTATGGAAAAACGGCGCCAATAGGCTTGCTCGACACAGCGTTGCCACAAACCTTCAATTTGTAAAAACATATCTACAAAGCATAATAAATCAAAGTGCAATAAAACAAGGTATGCCTGTAAATGCTAATATTAAGCTCCTTCTTTCTTTCATATATTTACTGTTGTAGTTAGACACCAAAGACAGCACCCATAATTCAGAAAACCCACAGCTTGAAGGCCCTTCAGGGACAGAGATCATGTCTTAAATTGTACTTTTCTTAGAGCTCTTGGGGTCATAGTGGGCACTTGTTGATGGTTGTTGAATTATCCGTCTGTTCCCAGCTGCTGCTCCTCTTGTCCTTAAGGTACCTGATGCCCTGTTTGTCTTTCCCTCTTTGTTTCGCAGCTGGGGAGGGAACTGGTTTTCCTGCAGGGAGCTGAACCTACCTGCTCCTCTCCTACCTCTTTGCCTCCACACCATGCTCTCATTTTAGTCATTGGCTAAAGACAGATCCTCTTCTCCCATGTGTATATCTTGTCATTTCTTTCTCTCCTTGCTCTTAGTTATATTCAGCATGATGTTATTTAACGCTGCAGAATATCTTGGCACAGAACTTGAGCCAAGAAGCTATGCTGCGTACTGCTTTAAGTCATTAAGTAACATTGTGTCTTTCCTCCTTGGAATGGATGTGAAGGACAGAGGGAGGGAGGCATCTTCATTTATTCCATAACTTTATTGAATGCCTAGTATGTCAGGCACTGTTATAGGTTCGATGATTACAGACTTGAATAAAACATACTAAAAAATAAATAAATAAAAATAAAACATACTAAGTTCTTTTATTTTAATGAGAGACAGATACTAAACAACAAAAAAAGCTACTGAAAATATAACACGTCAGATGGTAAGACGTATTCAAACCCAAAACCAAACTCAGCACCATTGGGTCAATTCTGACTCATAGCAAGCCCCACTGGGTTTCCAAGGCTGTAAATCCTTATGGAAGCAGACTGCTCTATGTTTCTTCCACAGATCAGCTGGTAGGTTCCAACCACTGACCTTTAGGTTAGCAGCCAGATGCCTTAACCACTATACTAACAGAGCCCCTTGGTAAGAAGTACTAAGAAGAAAAATAAATCAGGGTAATAGGGAGTTATGGAGAGAGGCTGTTTAGATAGGGTCTGTTGATAAAGTGGCATTCATTTCCATGGAGGAAATACAGCAAGTACAAAAGGTCTTGAGGCAACAGCATGGTTGGTGTTTTCAAGGAACAGCAAGGAGACCACTGTGGGGAACTGGTCTGTTCTGAGTTTTGTGTCACAGGATCCCTCTGGCTGCTCTAATGAGAATAGTCCGGGGGGGGGGGGCACGGGTAGAAGCAGGCACTAGGTAGAAGGTGATGGCAGTCGTCCTGTGAGATGTGGGGCTGCAACAGGGTGAAAGGTGGGGTTGGTAAGAAGAGCTCAAGTTCTAGATATACTCTGAAAACAGAGACAGAGGATTTTCTAGAGAGTTGAGGAAAGAGATAAATCAAAGATGACCCATGGTTTCTGGCCTGATCAACTGAAAGAATAGATTTGTTATTTCTGAGATAAGGAGTCAGAAGGAAGAACTGAACAGTACCCAGTTCCATTCTGAGAATGAGAGTGAGAATCCCCATTAATATGCAAATGTGCCATCTTAAAATAAGATACCTGATGTTATTTAATGCTTGGCACAGAACTTGAGCCAAGAAGCTATGCTGCGTACTGCTTTAAGTCATTAAGTGACATTGTGTCCTTCCTCCTTGGGATGGACATGAAGGGCAAGAGGGAGGGAGGCATCTTCATTTATTCCATAACTTTATTGAATGCCTAGTATGTCAGGCACTATTATAGGTTCAATGATTACAGACTTGAATAAAACATACTAAGTTCTTTTATTTTAATGAGAGACAGATACTAAATAACAAAAAAAGCTACTGAAGATATAACATGTCAGAGATCCTCGCTCATCTCTTCATCCCTCTCCCAAACGAATGCCCTATTTCTCCCACTTTCTGGGTGTCTTTCCATTCTCTGTTAAATCCATCCCAACAGGCTTTTATCCCCCCTCCCATCACTCCACCCAAATTGATTTTTACCAAAGTAAGCAATGACCTCCATAATGACAAATCAATTCCCGGTCATCTCACCCTAAACCTATCACCAGCATGAGCATACAATACTCCCTGCTTCTGAAAGCACATTGGCCTTCAAAGCCCCATTGCATCCTCTCTTCCCTCAGCCTTCTCCATCCCAGCTGGTAGCACCTTCCAGGAAGGTGAGCTTGTCCTTCTCTCTGCCTGGGCCAGAAAAGCTTCAAGATCCCTGATACAATTTTCCCCTTTTTCTCAAATGAATACTTAGGAAGTCTGTATTCCTAAATCTTCCCAGTAGTTGCCCTTCCCAGACTCTTTGAGGGCCCTTGAGAAAGCCCTTATTTGAGCTCTTTTTAGCTCCTATAAAATACAACTAGTTGCCCTGTAAGTCAACTCTCAGTTATTTGACTTGACGTGAGAACAGAGTCAGAACAAAACTGTAGGGAGCAGAGCCAAGTCAGCAGCTACTACCCAAATCACTGACCCACTACTACAATTTGACAACATACAGACAGATAATGGAAAGGTATGTCTCCTGCATGCAATAATAAAGGACTGCAAAAAGATATGAGATGTTTGATGAAAAAACACAAAGCAAATTTTCTCATTTCAGCAGGCTTGGTCAGGTCTGAGTCAAGTCCTATCTATCTTAAAAGATGTTTTTATCTTTAACTTTGGTGAACATCCTCATGTTTTCCAAAAGGAAACATATTTTACTTGACCTTAACTAAGGGGACTTACGGCATCCTCTCTTCTCATACTTTATTCCTGTGTTTTGCTAAATAATATTTGTCATCTTCCCAGAAAGAAGATTGGCCCATGCACAAGTTGGAGTGTTCTGCCATGGTTGTTTTTGGGGAAAACTGGAATCCCTCTGAGACTGTTAGGCTAACAGCAAGGATTCTGGCCAAACAGGTGAGGAAATAGGATAATGTTCAAGTGAATTTTATTTTATAGCTTTTCCTTAAAGGTCAGAAGATGTGAGTAACTCTCTTGTTAAATGTACTTGGACTTGGTTCCTATGATATCCAAATGGACAAGGGGAGGAAAAAACACCTGAGGCTTCAGCTGGATGGTTGTCTGCCTTCTACTATTAGGATGTGACTTAGCTGAGGCCAGGAACATGGTCATGGGAATGAAATTCTGAGCTTTTAGGGGGGACAGGTTTGCATCAAAAACCATGACCTTTCAAGGCATGAAAAATCTGACTTAATACCTAAGAGCTTCCTAGGATAGCGGACTGGTCTGAGAAGGCTTTGAGGTTCTCCTCTTTTTCTTTTCTACCACAGAGAATGCAACTGCCTTCTGAAGACACTCTGCACTTCCTTGTCCCCTTACTTACTTGTCCTTGCATAAGTGGGCAAGGAATTGGAAGTAACATCCAGGATGGCATGTGCAGAGGAGAAAAGAAAAGTGGAAAAGTAGAAACAGAGCAAGGGGAAGGAGTGTGGCGGGGGAAAGAGAGTGAAAAAATAAAAACAGAAATGGGAAAGAAGAAAAGAAAGAGGTACCCTTGGGTGGGTACAAATGATAACCATCAACAGTTTTATTCATAATGATGCCAGGACTGAAAATTATGTTTGTTACTCTGTGACTAACTAGTCTCTCTCTTATTTGGTGAGTCCTCATTGATTGCATGATAATTACAGACACTTGATCTCTGGAAATAGGAGCTCTAGTGGCATGTTGGTTGAAGCATTCAGCTGCTAACCAAAAGGTCAGCGGTTCCAACCCACCAAGAGAAAGATGAGGCAGTCAGCTTATGTAAAGATTATAGCCTTGGAAACTCCATGGGACAGTTCTACTCTGTCCTTTGGAGTCATTAGGAGTTGGGATCTACTTGATGGCAGTGGGTTTGGATTTTTGGGTTGATCTCTGGGAAGGACCAGAATAAGAGGATAGGAAAATGCCATAGGATTTATCTGCGTGTGGCACAGTGAAATAGGCTGCCTGAAGCTTAGAAGACATATTTCCACAGAGGCTGTTGCTAATAATAAGAGGTTGCTGGTAAGGCCTCTGTGCTGTAAATCTCTTAAGGCGGAAATTTCATTCACTTCTTCCCTACACCTACTGCTCCCTCTGCCTTTAAGAATGTTCTCTCATTACGTGATTATAATGATTAGCATGTATCTATCCTCAGACTCAGTTAGGATCCTGGGCTTTATAAACAGAAGTAGAACATTTCAGAACCCTGAGGTCATCATTCCACTGTATTCAGCTCAGGTCAGGTGCTTTGTGAAATGCCACTGCGCCAGCTCCAGTAACCAAAGCCATTCAAGGGTTGCCTTTAGAGTGAGACCATAAAGTTAGAATTGCTTTACCTGAGGGAGGGGCAATTAACTTTTAGATCCTTAATAGTAGTTATCTTTAAATAGAATATTTGGATAACAGAAAGGGTCAGGGGAAATATAGGGTGACTGGGCCATTATTGGGTGAGCATGTCAGGATAAATAAGCCAAAATATTAGATCTGGCAGTGTCTTAGAAGGATTGGGTGACCAATCCATCTCTCCCACACACACACACTGATTTCTTGATGTAATTTATAGTGTTGGGGTTAAGAATTTAGAAGAACCTGGTGTACTTTTCTGAATGAAAATCTTTCCCAGACAAGACGACTTATTAATCTTATAGAGATGCATCCTGTGAATGGAAGATTTCTGCTGCACAAAAGAACTATGGAAAGGTTTTGGCACTAGTAGGGGAGTCTGAATGCGGTGATGAGTTTATATGAGTTTCATTCAACTTTTATTGTAATTACTACTACTACTAATAGTCCATTTAAATGAAAAGTTACCTGACCATCTTTTCATCTCCGTAGGACTCGATGATTAAAAAAACAGACCATTTGTATTCTAGCAGCTTGCAAAGGATTAGGGGAGACAGGCTACCAACTACCAAGGGGAAGCTTAACATGTTAACTAGGGAGGTGAGTGCGCCCTGCGAGACCACCTGTATCCCCAAATTGAATAGCCAGATTACAAAGACACGGCCCTCGGGCCAGCTCTTGAGCTCTGCTTTTGAACTCTTGTCAACACCAAGTTTATTCATGTTCTCAAAGCCTAGCAGGTTTACTATTGTTAGCTCCTCTTGGGGTGTCTAGAACAAAGCCAGCAGTACTTTTAAAGTGAATCTGGGCTCCCAGATACAACCAAAAGAGTCTTTTTGAAACACAGAATTTGAGATCATTTTAGTCCATGCTTAAAGAAAGTGTAAAATGGATGGGGGGTTTGATTTTGTTCCTTTTTAAATGGAGAAATAATAAATAGGATGGTTGGTCTGTAGACATAGTCCTTTTAAGTAAGAGCCCTAAAAAGTTGTTTCTCAGCCATCATTCATTCCCATAACAAGCATTTTTGAGCCTACTGTGTGCATAGCATTACCAGGGTGTTAGGAACACGGCAGAGAGCAGGCTCGCAATGGGAACACTTTAAAAGAGTGTTTTGAATTTGGATGTTGGGCAAACATTCTCGCAGCCCAAGTTGTGGAGTCCTTGGGTAGCTTTCTTTACTTCATTGAGTAATAGCAATGTGTCGTTTTTTTTTTTCTTTCCCTTCATGTTGATTTAAAAGTGGAAGTGTTACTTTTTGCACTCATTGGTAAAGTCTCCATCTGTGTGATTTCTTCCCCAATTACCAGAAAATCCACCCTGAGAGAACACCATCAGAAAAATTGTTAGCAGTGAAGGAGTTTGAATCACGTAAGTTCTAAAATCCTAAGTTTTTCTGCAACCATCTGAGGAGCTATTTTATCCATAAATTTAATGTAGATTAGGCAGGATTGAAAAAAGAAAGGGATTGTTTATGCATTCTGGAGTAGTAGTGATATTTTTAATTATTAGTTTTTATTTTGCCTCATGTGCTGTTTTGAAAAATGAGTTTATTTAACTCTTCTCCTGATTTGACAGGATTACTAGGAAGTCATTAAGAGGAAATAGGAACTAACAAGATGAAATATTGCATCCCTAGCTGTCTCTGGCTGGCTCTCCTGGCTTGCTGAACATTTTTGGTCTTTGCTGAATTGCAGTGCTGTAAAAAGCTGATGACCTTACTGGAAGGCACTAAATCAAGGGGCTGCCTAGTTTGACCATTATAGAGAGTCCAGGGCCAACTTGGGGCCCTGGGCTGGCGAAGGCTGGTTATCACTCATTGCCACTCATTTCCAAATTGGAAATTTTGTGTCTGGAGTGACTTCCAGTTGTCAGAGGGAGGGAAAAAAGAAGAAATGGCATGTTTTTCTTTTTCCAAATTTGCACTCTGCCAGTTAACAGGAAGAAGAGAAAGATGGTGCTAGAATTCCAGGGTTTGTTCTCTGGTGAGTGATGTATTTGATTGTTTATCCACAGATCTGAGTAAGTTAGACAATGAGAAGAAGGAGTTGATCCAGAGTGACATTGCTGCTCTCCACCACTTTTACTCCAAGCATCTAGAATTTCCTGGCACTGAGAGCCTGGTAGTACTTTTTGCACAGGTAAGAACAGCAGCCTCAAGTAACACTTCCCCTAGCCTTTCTGTCTCTACACCTCATCCCAGCACGTGCTCAGTGAAGATGAATGGAAGAGAATGAAGGCATCCCTTGATGACAAGGCTCTTGACCTGTTTGGCCCTGTTTACCACAGCCTTTCCAGGTGATCTCCCACAGATCCAGTTCCTCTCTGGGCTGGTCCTCATTGATGAGTTGAGTGCAGAAAATTTACCTCTGCCTCAGAAAGAATTAATGAAAATAAATGAGTGGCCAATAACCCAGTACTTTTGCCTGTTCTTATAATACCCATTTGCCATCATGTGGATTCTGACTCATGGTGACCCCATGTGTTAGAGTCAAACTGTTCCATAGGATTTTCTTGGCTACAATCTTTATAGAAGCAGATCTGCAGGTATTTCTTCTGCTGTACCACTGTGGGTTCAAATCACCAACATTTAGGTTAACTGTTGAGTGCAGACCATTTGTGCCACCCAGGGACCACTGTATACTTTAAGCTCTTTGAAAAGAAAAAGCTGTTGTCAGTTAGAAAACACCTATTGTTGTCAAGTTGATGATTTGAAGCTACTATATTAAATTTTACTTTTCATAGGTCTGCCATTCCGCCTGATAATGTTTTCCCATCTGTTTTTCAAAAAAAAAAAAAAAACAACTCATACACTGTGTTGCTAAAACAGAGAAATATCCAGGTTCCCCTGAGAAGCCCTCTCTGATTGCCTGAGGAAAAATAGTTGTCACAGAGAGGAGCCCGTGTGGGTCTAGCTGTGGAAAGTCTTTCCTGATGATGGCTAAGAAATCTTGTTTAGAAAATCCCAGGTTTACCAAAGTCAGAGGTAATAAAAAAAATTAGAGAGGCTTCTAAATAAGAGTAACTTTCAAAGTGATTAAAGCGTTGGAACCTGGGTCTTATGGAAAGGCTCAGGCTTGGGCATTGATTGTCAAGACAGGGGAAGAAGGCTGCAGCAATTTTTTGTTGGTGATTTACTACAGTGAGCATGTATAACATGAATGTTAAAGAGGAGAAAAAGATAAAAAGCACTTTTAATTCTACCACTTAAAAAAATTACACATATAAAGAAATGAGTCTTTCTGTCTCTACACCTCATCCCAGCACATGCTCAGTGAAGATGAATAAAAGAGAATGAAGGCATCCCTCACTTCTCATTGTTCACTGTTAACAGTTCAGCCAGCTCCTTTATAGACTTTGTTTATGTAGACTTACTACTATTGGGTAGCTGTTAAAAACCACACACACAAAAAGGATTCTTCAATGTTGCTGCACAGTTGTGGAACTGTATTTTCACACTGAAAATCAAGGTATTTGATCCCACAAGTAGATTTGTGGAGGAAACGGCTCAGAGTCTTTGAAATTTGGACTGACTCAGAAAATCCAGGACATTTGTATGCTTTTATAAAAACATACACACACACACACACACATACATACATACATTCATAGTCTGTTCTTGATATTTGTTGTTGTTGTTACGTGCCGTCGAGTCGGACCCGACTCATAGTGACCCCTCCTTGGGTTTCCAAAGCAGTATCACTATGGAAGTAGATTGCCCAACATTCCTTCTGAGGAGTAGCTCTTGATATTTACAGTAGTTATATTCTATAAAGTCACTTCAAACACTGAATTAGCATACACTGAGTTCCTGTTCCTAGGGCAAATGCAAGGTTAGGTTCCTGCAAACATCTGATGACAATATTTTTGTCAACCAATCAATACATAACTTTTTTTTAATGTGTATTTCTATTTAAAGACACCTTATTTAATATATGTTGTTGATTCATTAACCTTGAACTCATGGCCAACAGCACTGTAACTCATGCCAGCATGAAGCTTATCTAACACACATTTTTTCCATAAGGTACATCACAGCCTGCTTGCACTTTGGAACACTAGACAGTGCTTTAGCACTCTATTTGGGGGGCATGTTAAGCAGTGAAAACATCAACAAAAAGAACAAAAATGTGAAAAACATGGCATTAAATAGACCATGAGAAAGATACTTGTTACAGTATGAGAGCTGAAACAAGAAAGGCAGAGCGTCACCTTGTTTGATCTCATCTGGGAACGTGTGTTGGGTAACTCAGATTTTTCACCACTCTGTGCCTTTTGTGAATGACCACAGAAGTGCCACAAGTATTGGTTTTGGGATTACAAATAAGTTTGGCAAGTAGGTGGATTCACAAGGAGCCCTGGTGATACAACAATAAAATGCTTGGCTGCTAACCTAAAGTCTAGTGGCTTGAACCCACCCAGCAGCTCTGTGGCAGAAAGACCTGGCAATCTGCTTTTGTAAAGATTACAGCCAAGAAAACCCTGTAGGGCAGTTCTGCTCTGTCACATGAAGTTGCTATGAGTTAGAATTGCCTTGGTGACACTCAGTAACAAAAACAGTCAATATTTGCAAATATGGAATATGTGAATTATGAAAATTAACTGAAATTCCATTTTTTATATGCTTATATATCACGTCACAGTATTCATTCTGAGGTTGTGCTTGTTTATATATATATGCACACACATACACACATATATCTTTTTTCCTATATAAATTTCAAAAAGGGCTTTCAATATCCCCAAAGAAAACTGGAAACAAAAAAAGTGCCACTCCAGCACCATGCCACCCTCTGGTCCTGCCTCTCAGCACTGAGCTACATTTGTGCTGTTCCAGCCTCATCGCTGTCCTCTCTGGTTCCTGGGAGGGTGTTGTGACTGAACTGTGGCCCAGCAGCAGCTGGCAGCACAAGGTGACTATACTCCTTCGACAGCATCGAGGTGTATTTTAATCACTGGGAGTGAATGGATGCCTGCGAAGTATATTTTTGGTGTGCAGCCTCCATCTAGTCTAAATGCTAATTATGAGAATAGCTCTAGCAAGGCACTTAAGCCTGATTTGACTTGAAAAAAAGGACTATGGTCCATGCATTTCTTAATATGCAAGTTCACTTTTCTTCTCTAGGGATATTTCAAAGGCAGGGGAAGCTGGCAAGCAAATTGCTATGCAGTTTGGCTTAAACACCATCACTGCCTCCCAGGAAGGAACAGCAATGACTCTTGTGCTTATAGGAGCCTTTGCTGATGAAGAAATATACAGTCTTCCAGAGTAAGAGGAGCAGGAAGGACAGGCAGCCATGGGACTGATGGTCATAGAACATTTGCATATGAAGGAATCTGGAGTCAGAGCTGACCAGCTGGGATGGCATCAGGGAAGGAGAGAGACTAAGAAGCAGAGAAGCACCCCACCGCACCCCTAGAGTTTATTAGGAGCTGTCTGTACCAAGACTATTTTGAAAATTGCTACTAAATTCTCTTTATTTTCACTCTGCAAATTTTTATTATCTTATGGGCACCAGACACTGCTGAGGCATGTTAGTGTCCATTCTGAGATTGGATATAGATTATTCAGTACCTAGTAAGATGTAGGGTGCAGAGTTGACACTCTAATAACTTTTGCTAAATCCTGATTTACTCTCACCTAATATTGGTTGATGGCCATTGGCTAATGGTCATTGGTTAATCTCCTGAATACAGACTAGGTTAAGGTACTTGGAGTTAGCACAAAGACTAATATGTTAAGTCTTCTGTTTAGAAATGCCCAGCTACCTCAGGATTTCAAAGGTGATGGATTGTTTTACCAACTTGCAATAGCCTCCCCTTTTACTCTTTGTATATTGAATTGTAAATACTGCAAGTCAAACTCGTCATAACCCTTACTTTTATGTGTGGCAAGATCTCCCAGCTTTTTACATTGGCCCATTAATTTTAAGTAAAATGAGCCACATTAACACTGAGTCAGCCAGAATGGTTTTAGAAGAAACATGGAATAGTGTGAAGAGATCAGGCTTGGCTGTCAGAATGTGTAGTTTGAATTCTAACCCCTGTTCTGCCTTGTTTATATGGTCTGGATCATATCCCTGAGCCTCAGTTTCCACATGTGTAAAATGAATTACAATGATGCCAGTGTAGTATTGTGGATTTAGAAGATGGTAAGTGCCCAGCACCTAACATAGTATCTGGCCCAAAGTGCATGCTTAGTACATGCTAGTTTTAAAAAAGTCACCCATTGACCTGAAATGTACCAGCGAAGTTTCTCCAGGTGTGAAGAGTGTGTGCCTCACAGAGCCTTCTGCGCACTGTGGGGCAAGCAGGGCTCAACTTTTGCTTCCTATTAGCTTTGCAACCTTATGCAAGTCACTGCTCTTCTCTGGACCTCAGTTGTATCATCTGAAATGTAAAGAGAGAAAGTTCCCACCCAACTCCAAAATTTTAGATACATGTGGAGAACACCCACTGAATTGTCTCCCAGTGGACTAGGTGTTCCTTGAGGGCACAGATTTTGGCCTGTTCATCTTTCTGTCCACAGTGCCTGCCACATAAGGGCTCTCAATAAATGCCTGTGGAAGGCATGAATGTATAGAATTTGGGGATGTATACTCTTCATTTTCAGACTGCTTAGCCCTAAGTTGAACTTCCACAATGGTGAGGGTAGCCCTTGGAGTATTGCTCAGTGCAGTATTTTCTTTCAAGGGATGATCAAGTGCTAGTGGTTGATTTGGCTGAGACGTGGACCACAGATTCTCAATTCCTTAACTTCAGGCCCTCACTCACCCTGCCTCTCAAGGGGATGGAGAGCCATTAGAAGAGATGGAAAAGGGCTTCCATCTGTACCCCCTCATATCATGAGATAGGCACTGTTCAGTGACTCCCTTTTTAATGGGACAAAGTTGAAGATTGAGCAACTGTGATTGTGTCAAGATCAGACACAAATATGTGGCATAATTGGGATTAAACTTCAGGTATCTTAACTCCATGTGAATACGTAGATTTCAGTCCATAGCTTTCTTTCATTCTTAGCATTTTTGGACCACTGAATGTAGTTGGGTAGGTAGACCATACTAACGGATGCTTCAACACTAACTGTCCTGCATTTATTTGTTCACACATGGGACTGATGGCTAAATTATGTTTGTGCAAAGGAAACCATGGCCAAAAAGGAAAGTCTTAAAATGACTAAACCATAACATCTTCCTGGTTCGTTAGTCAAAATTAAAGAAATGATTCCTTTCCAGGGAGAAGCTTTAGCTCATTTTTTTTTTTCTTTTCTTTATTTCTCCCCCTTTCTCACTGCAGGTTAACTGTAATGGCTTCACAATTGAAGACGAAGAACTTTCTCATTTGGGATCAGCAATATTTCCTGAGTAGGCTGAGTTTGACTTGGTTTCTTTTCTTTTTTGCTAATTTAACACTGATTTGATTTTTTTGATATTTAAATAACCCACCTCACTGCATGTGGCAGACATGACACTCCAAGTGAATTAAGACACCTTTTTAATTCTGCCAGATTTCAAAATATTTCCCCTACACTTAAGGATCTGAAGGTAGTCGTTAAGAGAACAGTTGCTTGTTAAGTCCCACCAGCCAGAGAGCTGTTATTAAAGAACATTTTATAGTGTTCATAGAAGAAACAGCCTGTGTCCTGCTGAGAAATTTGCTTTCTGCATATCTGTGATTCTGGAAATCTTTGGGGGTTTTTAATACTCAAAGGGAAACATTAATTGCCAACCAAGAGTTGGTCATAGGCTTGTGTAGAGAATATGTGAGCTGCTTCTCCATCTCTCCTTTTTGAAAATACCAGTCTAGAAACAGCATAATTTGGAGGGAAGGTAATAAAGTAGAGAAAAATGTCAAAGAGCTATAGTATTTTTCTCTCTGCTTTAGGAGTACTCAGGTAATTCAAGATTGGCTAGCCAGTTGGCAAATGGAGATCTTTATAGTTCTGACATTAATGGATCACCAAGAATGGCTTTGCTGTCGTCTCTTTGATGGAATGGGTATTTCCCAAATGCTTCAGTCCCCTGAAATGAAACCCTTGCTTCATAGATGGAGCAAAGGAGCCCTTCCTGCATCGCCAGTGTGAATTAACACATGTTGCACATCATTTCCAATCCAGAGTGATGCTGCTATCTCTATAGTAGAGGAACCATGGCTTTAGGCTGAAGCATATGTAAGGATGTGTACATGTGCTTGCTGTGGACAAAGTACTTGTTCCTACTGTGTCTGTTTGTTGTTGCCAAGCTCTGTGCATCATACGGGTCAGAGAGACAGAAGAGTTTGTACAGGGCACTGTCTCGTGAGCAGTTGTTTCAGGCTTGATTGAACCACAGGAACTAAAAAGTTTACTCATCTCACATTACTATCCTTGAGGCCAAAATGATGCCATCTGCAGTTTGAATTCTGATAGCAAGGAAAGAAGTGTTTTTGCAGGAGGTTCTTTGAGACTTTTGCTTTTGGGAAAAAGGTGAAAAAGAGTGTGGGGACCCTCTGTAGAAGGCCTTCAGGTAACAATCTCAGCACTAATACAGACTGTGCGATATCTCTGCTCTTAGTGTCTGTCTCAGTTTCTTGTTGTTGTTGTTGTTGTTATTGTTGTTATTTGCTGTGGAGTCAGACCCAACTCCTAACGACCCCTCCTTGGGTTTCCGGGGCAGTATCACTACAGAAGTAGATTGCTCAACCTTCCTTCCGAGGATTGGCTAGTGGGTTTGAACCGCCAGCCTTCTGGTTAGCGGTCAAGTGCCTTAGGCACTATGCTACCAGAGCTCCTACGTGGTTTCATAGGACTGCCAAACAAAACATCAGGAAGTGGGTGGCTTTCAAGAACAGGAGTGTATTGTCTCACAATTCCGGAGGTCCAAATTTAGGGCATTAGCAGGACAAGCTTTCTGTGGGCTCTGTGGTGGGGGAAGTCCTACCCCGTCTCTTGCAGCTTCTGTAACATTTGGTGTTCTTAGGCTTGTAGAGGGCCCCTCACATGCTGTCTTACCCCCTGCGTGTCTGCTTCTGTGTCTCTGTCCTACTCTGGTGTGACTTCCTTCTAGTGTTATCTTTATAAACAAGGGCACATTCCCCAGCAGAGGTGAGGACTTTAGCATATCTTTTTTTGGGACACAATTCAATCCATCACAGTATATTAAAGACTAAAAGTAGGATGAAGGCTAATGTTGTTTAAGGTGTTCAGCAATTACTGAGAGAATTGTGGTACCATAAACATAAGTTGTTTTGGGCCCTTTGGCTTATGCATTTTTCCCTTTCATTAAAGAGACACCCATGAATCTGTCTCAAAATGATGTTCTTAACACATCTGCTACACCATGGGTCTATTGTGTGCTTTTCCTTGAATGAGACTACCGTCTCAGTACATTGATTGACTAGATTTCCTAAGGCCTGATTCCCCCTGTGACACTTGCCAGGAAGTCAGGTAGGCCAGAGTGCAGGTCCCAACAGACCAGGACAGTGAAATGGCTATGTATTTGTCCTGAGCACTGGGCCAGCCAATACTTTACTCAGGTCTCTGGAGCTAGAGGCAGGCCAGTCTGCCCTTGTCCATGGCATCAGCCCCCATCCAAACCTGGGACCACTTGCTCCTGGCCTTTTTGCAATCTAGGGACAAACAGGAGCAGGGTTTTGGTCAGTGAAGTGTCAAGAAGGTGACACTGGCCACCAAAGCAATTATGTGTGTGGATGTGTGTGCCCACGGGAACACGAGCCCCAGTTTCCGGCAGTTTTAATTGGGGGAAAAATCCCTTTGGGCTGAAATCATATCGGCATTGTGATTTCAAAGACAGCATTTTCAGAGATCAAGCACTTTTTCCCTGTAGTTTAGAAATTTCTGTTCTTAGAACTTTGACCTTGATATAATCAGAAAGCTCAAAGCCCTTCGCATAGGCGAATCTCTCTATCCTCCTCGCTGTCCCTGAAAAGCAGACAGTGACAGCAGGAACAGTAATGTCCCAATTTTCCAGATGAGGAAATTGAGGTGCAGAGAGACTCAAATGGGCTTCTGCAGGGCTCGAGGCGGGGGCTGGGGGGATCACAAGCAGCCACTTTGGGAGCTCAGTCCCCCATGGTGATGATTTCTCGGCATCTGAAGAAAACACACTGGATATAGTCCACTAATGCAAAACACTGCTTGATAATGACAACCATTTGTCTTTTACAGTGTGCAGTGGAGTAGCAATTAGCTGGAGGCACTGGGTTTTGAGTACAGCATCTATTAGGAAAGAATGTTTGTAGGGTTTTGTTGTTGTTTGTTTCTGGCTTACTGTTTTTAGTTGTGGCTTTCAACGTTCAATGCTGTTAAAGGTGGTGGTTGTTAGCTGCTGTCAAGTCGATTCTGATCTATGGTGACCCCATGTGTGCAGATTAGAACTCCTTCTGAGGGTTTTCAAGGCTGACCTTTCGGAAGCAGGTTGCCAGATCTTTCTTTTGAGGCTCCTCTGAGTGGTTTTGAACCACCATCTTTTCAGCTAGTGGTCAAGTACTTAAACATTTGCACCACTGGGGACTCTGTGAAAGGCTAAGATGTTAGATATGATCATGCATGCAGAACAGCCTCTGAGAATATGATGGCCAGCTATTAGATTTTTTTTCCTGTGTGTTGCAAAGATGCAGTTACTCTATCTTAGCAAGTGAACATCCAAGTGGAGTCACCTAAAAGGTCTCTGTACCTCACTGAAAAAGTGGGATCTTCTCTTCTGATTGGCAGCGTTGCACTGATGAATCATAGCTGTTGTCCCAACGTGATTGTAACCTATAAGGGGACCCTGGCAGAAGTAAGAGCTGTACAGGAAATCAACCCAGGAGATGAGGTGAGTGGATCGCCAAATGTGGTGTTGGCAGTATACTTATGGCAGCTGTTTTAAAGGGCTGTTACACTATCTATGCAGTATTACTTGAGAACACTGGCCCTGAGTTATGCCAGGTCAGTCCTCAGGTCCTTCAGAGTGCTACTGTCACATTGTGACCTGTGGCTGGGGACCCCTGGGGCCACACACTTTAGGGCTTCCCTCTTTAAGGCCTGCCATTTCCTTGTTTGGTCAAGAATAAAGCAGAAAGTATGAATTCAATTCAACTAAATTTCTCATGAAGATTTGTAGAGATTTGCAGAAAAAAGAGATTGCCAAAACAAATAAAATGAAGTTATTGATTCTCTTCAGAGTCTGTATATACCTATTGCCAAACAATTGAGTTTAAGCTGCTTTGTTTTTTTCCGAACCGTGAAATTTTGCCTGGTCCTCTCCTTCGCCCTAACAGTGAAAAGTATTGTTCTTTAAAGGAGAACAAGAACGCAGTAGTAGCTGAAGAGCTACAGCTCCAAATGACACATTGCCTTTTTGTACCTATCCCTGTATGAATTTAGAGCCGTAATTTACTTTTTAGAAATGTAATTCAGATGACTAGTTGTATGGTGACATAGTGCCTGAGGCATTTGACTGTTAACCAGAAAGTTGGTGGTTCAAACCTATCAGTCACTCCATAGAAGGAAGACTGAGCAATCTACTTCCATTAAGATTTACCACCTCAGAAACCCAATGGGGGTTGCTATGAGTCAGAGCTGACTTGATGGCAGTGAGTTTTTTTTTTTAAATACTCTGAGTGGGGGAATAGGGGCAGTCTATGGATTAGAGGCACCATTAAACCAGTTGCTGCCCGGTCAACTCCAACTCATGGTGAACTGAACTCCGCAGGTTTTTAATCATTGATTTTTTGGATGCTATTTGCCAGGCCTTTCTTCTGAGGTGCCTCTGCATGTACTTAAACCTCCAGTCTTTCACTTAACCCCTGAGTGCATTAAAAATTTGTACCACCCAGGGACTCCCAAAAGGTACCATTAGCTTTTATTTTGGAGACATAGCTGGTGAATGGGTACATCTCTGTCAGAAGAGCCCATATCCTGTCACTGGCTAGCTCAGTGATTCCCTTTTCTTCCTTGTGCTGTGATGTTAGCAGTGATTCTGTGACTACCTTAGAAGACATCTCGCATCAGGCCTGCCTGGTAAATTGCTGTATGTATGCTGTGTATTCTTAAATGAACAATGAAATCCCTAGCAAGACCCATGAATTTTTAGATTGAAATTTAGATTGAATTTCAGTTTAATAATTTTAATGCTATTTTAAGTTACATGTCTGGATATTTGAGATTTTAAATGTAATTGTCAGTGTGCTAAATGATAAATGCTTTGATTTCTGTGGAAGTTGTTAACTGGTCCACAGATGAAGTGGGGCCCCAAGCCTCAAGCACAGATTGGATTTTGTTCTCTTTGTTCAGTTCATCATGAAGAGGGCATCCTGTGGTGGGTCAGGAAGTCTGGGTTTCTGAATGTCTTGTGTAGACTGTCCAATGCCTGTTTTTTTAAAACAGACAATTCCAGTCAGTCACAATGTAAGTTTCCAGGCACCTGTGCTTACTGAGTGAGAGAGGAGCAGTTTGTCACCCAGACTGGCTGGCTCTAGCTGGGCAGTGACACTGGAGTGGCCTTTGTCGCCACCTTCTGGGCCCTTCTGTTTGTTGCACTATATGTCCATCATTCATTGCAAAGGGAAGTATGCAGGTTCTTGCCATGTGAGGCAGGACAAGGCTTGCCCTGTTCTCTTTGCCATCATGCTCTCATAAATCTAAAATGCAGCAACCTCACTCAGTGCCTGGGCAGTCAGTACTTGGGTTACTTGCCCTTGAAAGTCAAAGGAGTCCATTGCCCAAGGTGTGAGAATAAGCCATGAGATCTCCAGTACTACCCTTGTGTTGGGCAGACCTTGGCTGCCCCACAAGCACCTAACCCACTCTTGTTCTTCCCTTGCCTGCCTGGCAGTGCCTGGGGTGACTGGCTCACTGATGGCTTGTTAAGTCCATCTGCTCAATCAGACATTTGCCTGATTGTGTAGGATGATCAGCAAGTGCCATCCCAGTGAGTAGATAATGGACATTTAAGTGCTGGTCTCCTCCATATGTTCCAAGTCTTAGTTATAGACCTGAAAAAAAGGAAGGTGGGGAGAACCCAGTGAACCCAAAGGTAAAGTGTTTCCAGGTCCTCTGGCCAGGAGCTACCCATGAGGTAACGTGAGAGCAGACTGGTATTCTAGGAGCTATGTCTTCCCTAGACTGACTTTTGGTGTCATCCAGAGCTGCTGGTTGCCAGCCCACTGCGCTAAGCATCTCACTACATTGCCAGCTGATATAAGGAGAAAAGGGAGACCTATCAGGGTTTGCTTCTTCATGGTCCCCCTGCAATGAGAGCAGCAAAAGCATCTGAGATTTCCCAGATGATGGAATGAAAGAGCCTAAATAAAGGCCAGGCAGAGGCAGCACAGGTCTGACCCCAAGGATGAGTGACTCTTTGCCTGGTGTGGCCTGTGCTTCTGTATACAAGGCAGAGGTGTCTGCTGCTGGGACAAATGCATAGTTTGCTCTCTTTGGGGGAAGAAAAGAGGCAAAAATCCTTTCAACTCTACAGTGTACTGTTTTAGGGGCTCCCTGATTCTGTAGGGCTCTGGTGGCACAGTGCCTAAGGCATATAACTACTACCCAGAAAGTTGGTGGTTCAAACCTACCAGCCACTCTATGGAAGGAAGATGGGGCAATCTACTTTCATAAAGATTTACTGCCTCAGAAATCAAATGGGAGTCGCTATATCGCTGTGAGAATCAACTCCATGGCAGTGAGTTTTTTTTTTTTGTGTGTGTGTGTGTGTGTTTGTTTTAGAAGGGGAAAAGAGGAGCTCCACTGTGTAGAGTTCATTTACACCACAAGGAGGAACATTAGCTAGTTTCTCAGTTTAAAAGGAGTTCCCTGGGTGTAGTGCTATAGCAGTTAAAGTTCTATGTCAACTTGGCTGGGCCTAGTTGAGTGGCTGGGCAGCTGGATGTCGTATTCCCCATGATAAGACTGGTAATCAACTCCATGGTGGAATCTACTGTGAGCAGTTGAGTAGCTGCCTTTGGGTATGTGGTCTGCTTCCCATATATAAGTAGCAGCTTTGGGAATGGTCTCTAGCCTATGGCATGCTTGGACCCTGCATGTAGCCATGTCGTTGCTCAGCAGCCTGCTATGTTTTGTCGACCTTGGGACTTACAGTGGACTTAAGTTAATGGCATGCTGTGTGGTTTGGTAACATCAGGACTGTGCCTTTTTACTTGTCAACTTTGGGTCTTCTCAGTCTCAGCAGCCAGCAGCTGTCTGAGTGAAGAAACGCTTCTAGCTCCAGTGGGCCAGGAGCAGGAGGCAGAGCTGGACCCCAAGGTTGAGGGGCTTTCACCCAGCCCCTAGAGCCTAGCACTTTGAACTTGAACTTAAAGCCTCCAAATTGTAAGAATAAACTCCTGTTTGTTAAAGCCATCCCATTTGTGGTATATTTCTTGTCAGAGTGACACTAGGTAACCAGAACAGTATTTGGTACCAAGAGAGTGGGGTGCTGCTCTCACTGATGCCTAAAATGTGGAAACAGGAGTGGAGTGCGTCCTTGACCTGAGACCCTGGCAGAGATATCCTGACATACGGCATGAAAGATGGCAGGAGCAGAGCCAAGAGACTGGCAGAGAGATACCAGCAGAGAGACCAGCATGAAAGATGGCAGTAACAGAGCCCAGAGACCGTCATTAAACAGCAACAGGCTTACCAGCCCACAGAGGAGAAAGCCGGGTGCCACTGGGTAGGCGGCTTCCTGGCAGAGTGGGTTGCCTTCAGGTGTTAATTGGTAGAAGAGACAGGCATGAAATGGAGTAGCAGGTTGGCCGGCCTACGGAGCAAGAAAGCCAAGTGCTTTGGGCGCAGGAAGTTTTCCAACGGAGTGGGTTGCCTTTGTCATTAATTGGCAGAAGCGGAGCTGCCTCAGCCTGAAAGGGTAGGACCATGGCCTTTTGGGGTGGAATGACCACAGGCCCCTAGGTTTCAAAGAACCAGGCCTTCACCAACTTAGTTCTGGGGTGTGGGGCTGCTCGTTCATGTGAGCCAGTGGGATGGAACCATAGCCACTGCCCAAGAGTGAGGGGGCGGGGCTGCCATGCCCAAGAGGGAAAGGAACAGGCCTGCCAGGCCAAGGGGGTGAGGTTGCCACTCAGGAACTAGGAGAGTGGAGCCACCCAGTGGAGGAGATCTGTACAGATGTCAAGTTGACAAGGGGTGGAATTGTGGTAGTTAAAAGTTGTATGTCAACTTGGCTAGGCCTAGTTGAGTGGCTGGGCAGCTGGATGTCGTATTCCCCATGATGAGACTGGTAATCAACTCCATGGTGGAATCTAGTGAGCAGCTGAGTAGCTGCTTTGGGTATGTGGGCTGCTTCCCATATATATAAGTAGCAGCTTTGGGAATGGTCTCTAGCCTATGGCACGCTTGGACCCTGCATGTAGCCATGTCATTGCTCAGCAGCCTGCTATGCTCTGCCGACCTTGGGACTTACAGTGGACTTAAGTTAATGGCCTGCTGTGTGATTTGGTAACATCGGGACTGTGCCTTTTTACTTGTCAACTTTGGGGCTTCTCAGTCTCAGCAGCCAGCAGCTGTCTGAGTGAAGAAATGCCTCTGGTTGCAGTGGGCCGGGAGCAGGAGGCAGAGCTGGACCCCAAGGTTGAGGGGCTTTCACCCAGCCCCTAGAGCCTAGCACTTTGAACTTGGACTTAAAGCCTCCAAGTTGTAAGAATAAACTCCTATTTGTTAAGGTCATCCCATTTGTGGTATATTCCTGTCAGAGTGGCACTAGATAACCAAAACAGGTGCCAACAGTTAACACCCTTGAATGCTAACTGCATGGTTGGTGATTCGAGTCCACTCCGAGACACCTCACAAGAAAGGCCTGGTGGCCTACTTCTGAAAAAGTAGCCATTGAAAACCTCGTGGAGCACCGTCTGACTCTGACACACATGGGTCTCCATGGGTCAGAATCAACCTGATGGCAACTGGTCAGCTTAAGGAACTTGTATGTTAAAGTAAACAGCATATGTTTGCAGAGCCATGAGGATGATAAGGTCTGGCTTTAGCTGTAGCAAATTAAAGCTTCAACTTTTTGGGCCTCTTAGGTATTTACCAGCTATATTGACCTCCTGTATCCAACAGAAGATAGGAATGACCGGTTAAGAGATTCTTACTTCTTTACCTGTGAATGCCAGGAGTGCACCACCAAAGACAAGGTAAGTTCTATTCATGCACCAGGGGCACACTGACTTGCTCCATCTCAGATCGCTGCAGAATGAGTTTTCCCTGCCTGACTTGGAATGCGCCCTCCTAGGACTTTTTTTTTTCTTTCCTCTGACCCTTCAAGGCAGACTTATTGAAACAGCCAAATGGAATCCAGTTAGACAAGGTGTCTGTACAAACTTGCTCCTCGTAGCTGGTGAGAACATTTCCATCATACTGGACAAATAAGAGACACCAAAACCAAACCCAACCCACTGCCAGTGAGTCGATTCCAACTCATAGTGACACTATAGGACAGAGTAGAACTGCCCCCATAGGGTTTCCAAGGCCTTGAATCTTTATGGAAGCAGACTACCTCACCTTTCTCCCATGAAACAGCTAGTGTGTTTAAACTGCTGACCTTTGGGTTAGCAGCTGAGTGCTTTAACCACATCACCACCAGAATTCCTTACTAATAAGAGAGGAACCTGTCAAATGAGTATTTCTTGAATGGAAATGACTACTCAAAAAGAGAGGGGAGGAAAAAGGCACATTTTCCAATCTGCTAACCAGAATGTGTGGAATTTTCCTTGGCTTTGCCTAAATCCTTGTTTTATCAGTGCCATTCTTCTTTATTCTGTTCTCTTGATGATTTATAGATGTGTGAACGGACATATCTGCTCTTAGCAAACACATTCTAGGCTAAGGACTGTCTAGATAACACAATGGTTATGCTCTTGGCTATTAACCAAAAGGTCCCCCGTTTGAACCCACCAGTCACTCCATAGGAGAAAGATGAGGCAGTCTGCTTTTGTAAAGATTTACAACTTTGGAAATGCTTTGAGGCAGTTCTACTCTGTCCTATAGGATTTACTATGTGTTGACTCCATGACAGTACATTTTGGCTTAGATAATTTGCATTCTTGTTGTTTATTTTGAATGTCTTTTAGATCCATTGCCTGATTTCCTTTTGATCTTTTATAACCCTAGAAAGGCAAATCCATCTCCCTTCACACAGGAATATGTATTGTTCGAGAGGTTTCTCAACTACTATGGTTTCCCTGGGGGGTAACAGCTTGCCTTTTTGGACATTTTGCTCAGGATAAGGCCAAGGTGGAAATCCGGAAGCTCACAGATCCTCCAAAGGCAGAAGCCATCCGTGACATGGTCAGATACGCACGCAACGTCATTGAGGAATTCCGGAGAGCCAAGCACTATAAATATATCCTTTACAGCTATCCTTTAGTCTACTGTCTCTCCCTTGGCAAGAGGTGGTGGGAAGCTGGGAATCAGGATAAAAATGGATTTAAAATTCTGAATTTTGAAGGAAGAATGTCTCCTGGTAAATGTGTGAAGGTTTATTGAACACCCATTAGGGGTGGTGCCAACCATAGGCAAAGTTTATAAAGTTCTTACTTCTTATGTGACTCATTTGGTCAGGAGCTCAACCTGGTGGAGGAGTTTTATTCTCTAAGACTGTGAAGGAGTAGTTTCTTGAAGGCCATTACACAGTGTACTGTGCACTTATGTACATCGTCTCAGCTAATCCTCATATGGATACTATGAGGGAGGGATATTGTGGTCCCAATTCACAGATGAGGAACCAAGCTCACAGGTATAAAGTAATTGCCCAAGGGTGCACAGCTTACTCTGGTACAGCCATGATTTTGCCCCAGGTTTGCTCACTAGCAAAATCTATGTTTTTCACCACTATACTGGAGCCCTGGTGGCACAACAGTTCAGTTCTCAGCTGCTTAATGAAATGTTGGCACTTTGAACCTACCCAGAGGCTCCATGGGAGAAAGACTTGGCGTTCTGCTCCCATGAAGATTACAGTGTAGAAACCCTACAAGGAAGTTCTCCTGTGTCACTTAGGGTTGCTGTGAGTTGAAAATCTACGCAGCGGCACCTAAAAACCACCACCACCACATCATAGTATTTTCTTGGGAATCAAAAAGGAATTAGATTTGTAGTCCAGAGTATAGAACTAAAACCAAGGGAAGGAAATTTGAGATTCTCAACTTTCTTATATATTTCTTCACTTAAGAAAGCACTTGCCCGTGCTGGGGCCCCTTCCTTAAAAATGCCCCATTTGCAGTGCTCAGAGCTTCCTGCCTTGGGTGGGGCTATGAATTCAGTTATAAGACTGAAGGTTTGTGATTCTAATTAGTAATGTTTATAGCCAAGCTGAGAGAGTGTTCCCTGTGGGTAAAATTCCTTAGTTTGAGTACACATTTGAGGTCTTGAGTTTTTCCTAGTTTGTTTCTTCAAGAAAAATATCATTCCTTTCATTTTTGCTTGATTTTATATAATTTACCTTTTCCGGGGCTGAAGGTGGGAGCCCAGTGGAGGAAAACAACTCCTTGAATTCTGCCTTGGGCCGGCTCCAAGCTGACTGCGCCTCGCTGTCATTTCCTTGACGCCACAGCACCCCCTAGTGAGCTGCTGGAGATCTGCGAGCTCAGCCAGGAGAAGATGAGCTCCGTGTTTGAAGACAGTAATGTGTACATGCTGCACATGATGTACCAGGCCATGGGTGTCTGCTTGTACATGCAGGACTGGGAAGGAGCTCTGCGATATGGACAGAAAATCATTAAGCCCTACAGGTGATTGCAGTGGCTTTTCTGATCGTCCCGGGAAGTTAATGGAATGTGTTGGTTCGGAATATGTCCCTTGGCTCTTTGTCTTCTTCCTGTGCCATGCTGGAACATGCCTAGAACAGCTTTCTCCTCTTTGCACCCACATCTGGAGGGACAGGTGTGGAGTGCTGCTCCATCTGGCCAGGCTTGCACCTCCACCATCTGGAGGAGAACCAGAGGTTATGCAGGGGATGCTGGGGCATGACCCCTCCCAGGGTCCATCCAGGGGCTATATCTGTAGTAGTTAATCCAGGGTAGTGTTAGATAGCCATCAGTCTGTTTAAGGAGCTCTGGTGGCGTAGTGTCTAAAGTATTTGACTACTAACCAGAAGGGTGGCTTTTCAACCCATCAGCCACTCTACGGAAGGAAGACTGGGCAATCTACTTCTGTAAAGATTTACCACCTTGGAAACCCAAAGGGGGGATCACTATGAGTTGGAATCAGCTCTATGGCAGTAAGGTTCCCCCCCCCCCAGTCTGTTTATGTTCCCACCACTCCTCTTAAGTTAAATGGCACTTATTAATCAGTAATTGGTGGTCTTGGAAACCTTGCTTTTCCATCATTATTAACACCTTCTTTTGCTTTTTCAAACTGCAGCCCCACTTTGCAAATGGGGCATCTCTGGGAGCAGTAGATTGGATGTGATGATTGAATGTCTCCCGTTGAATAAAATAAGATGGGTTTAAATTTGGAATGGTAGCAAAAACTAGCTGTGGGAAGTTTCCTGGCCAAGATGGTTCTTAAACCTTAAGGTAAGCGACTGAAGGAAGTCATGACATTGTCTTCTGGTCATCTGATTAGCCACTGTAATGGCCTGGATGCAAATCATGGGGCACTGTTACATATATTTACATTACACATTTATAGGGTCTGTCCAAGACCAAGTGGACTAGAGTCTCTTGGCATTAGGCCTGGAAATCTGTGTGTTCCAGAAGCATCTTGGGTGTTTCTAACTAATCTAGATGCCCTCAGTATTCTTTCAGATTCCAAGATTGGGGATTGTAAGGTTTGTTTCTTGTCTGAATTTCCACTGCTAACTGGGCCCTCCACTTACCCCCACATTACCCTGAGTAGCCAGCAGGGGGAGCTCAAGGGGAAGCCAGCTTCTGAAATCTGCTCTTGGAAATGGAATTTCTTCAGTAGGGGATAATCTCAAAGCTGTCCCTTCCTTGTGGGGTGGTGAGGAAGTCCTCTGGTTTTGTGCACACTTTCCTGTGGGGAAGACAGAGCTGGTGTGTGTGTAGGGGGTAGGGCCAGAGGGTGAGAAGTATCCCAGCCTTGTGATTGTTCTCCCAGCAGAACAATCTGTGCTGAATTCTTCCTTAGCCTAGAGAGTCCCACCTGGAGGTTCAGCTATGGCCTACCTTGGGGCTCTGGTCCCAGGCTACCTCCCAGCTGCCTCCTGCCCAGGAACCTGTCACTTTGGGACAAGCTTTCAAGATAGAGGGGGTGGAACAGATCTGCCTGTAAATAAACACCTCCTATTTACACGTAAGGAGCTCTGGTAGCATAGTGGCTAAGACACTTGACTGCTAACCAGAAGGCTGGCGGTTCAAACCCACCAGCCACTCCTCAGAAGGAAGATGGGGCAATCTACTTCCTTAGTGATACTGCCTTGGAAACCCAAGGAGGGGTCACTATGAGTCGGGTCCGACTCGACAGCATACAACAAACAAACAAAATTTACACATAACACACACACATACACTCAGCTATGAGCTGCCTCCTGGACCCTGCTTTGCAAGAAAGGCTACTGTTCTAGGCAGGCCTTTGTTAAAACCGGGAAGAAAGGACCCACTGTATATAAAGCCCCCTCCTGGCCAATGGAGAAAGCACTTCTAGAAGATAAGCTCTGCCCTGACTTCAGAGAGCTTATCATTTCACTAAACCAACAGAGATCACAGGATGGGACAGAAAGCAGGGTCTTGAGACACACTGAGCTGTGTGTGGTTTTAAGTGTATTGTCTTTGTAAGGTGAGGTGATAGGCCTAATTGCTGTCCTCATAAATGGGACATTTACTTTAAAAGATATTTTCTCAATGCCTTGATTTGGGTACACCTGAAATACAGAAATCTGGGCTAGGATTGAACATTGTGTTTATAGATGTTTTTGGATAGGAATTCTCCAATTTTTTAATATAGCTTTTTAGAAACATAATGACATAAAACAAAGTGTGTCTATGATGAGTAGGCAGTGGCGAACCATCCACTCTTACCTGCCCAGAATCTGGCAGGGTTTGGAGAGGCCCAGCTGCCATGGAGAGTTTGACCATGAGCTCAGCTGCCACAGGCTTCCTGGGCCCGGGGCTGGGGGCTGCTTGGCAGCCATTGATCAGGTGGCCTGTTGTCTTTTCTCTTCTTCCAGTAAGCATTATCCTTTGTACTCCCTCAATGTGGCCTCCATGTGGCTGAAGCTTGGAAGACTATACATGGGCCTGGAAAACAAAACTGCAGGAGAGAAAGCCCTAAAGAAGGTATGTCTTATGACATGAGGTTAGTGTTCCCGGTGCTTGGACAGCCGCCTTAACCCACTTCCTTCATGCATACAAACTCTGAAAAGCTGTGTTCAGTAGAGAATGACCAGCTCTTGACCCACCCTCTGGCCATAGGAGTGGAAGGGGATGGAGCAACTAATTGAGCCGGGGTGGTGTTTGTGCCCGTGTCCTCTAAGGGAAGGGTGCCCACATTGGGAGGTGCTGGCCATGATCACAGGCTCAGCTCAAAGCCAGGAGAAAAGAAGAGGGTACTGCCCTTCTCCTGTGTGAAGCCCTGGAAATGGGCCGAGGTCACTGACTGGGCCACAGACCTTGGTGAGGGAATTCTCCATTTGTCTCCTTTAGAATTTACAGAATTACAGTGCCCAATTGTGGTGAAATCAAAAGGATTGGATATAGAGAGTTGCTTTGTATACTAATTATATGCCAGAGCCCTTGATTATGTTTTTTCTTTTAATTCTCTCAAAAATCTAATAAGATAGATTTTCCTGAGGAGGAAATTGACCTTCAGGCAGGTTAAGCAAGGTACATGGTGAGGTCTTAATTCAAGCTGAGGTCTTTCTGAGTCCAAAGCTCCAGCTCTTTTCCCTCGTGCTGGGGCTAAAACACACGGGGGGACCCAGATCTTGAGCAGCATTTGCCTGTCAATTTCTGAGTTTCCCTGTGCTGCCAGTCAGAGTGGAGGCTGTGCCTGATGCTTTGCCTCTAAGGCTAGCTTAGAGCCAACATTCTAAATACTGACTCTCCATCTGTTCACTAAGTGGAAGTTAATGGTAAAATGCAAACTTCGGTCGGGAAAATCTGTTTACATGCCTTTATCAGAGAATGTAAAAGGAGCTCTGGTGGCATAGTGCCTAAGGCATTTGACTGCTAACCAGAAGGTTGGTGGTTCAAACCCACCAGCAACTCCATGGAAAGAAAACTGGGCAATCTACTTCCATAGAGATTTACCACCTTAGAAACCCAATGGGGGTTGCTGTGAGTCAGAATCGACTCGAAGGCAGTGAGTTTGGTTTGGTTTGGTTTGTCAGAGAATGTTTATAAATGTTGGGGCCAGGAACTAGGCCTGTAGGCCTCATTCTCCTGATTTTCCCAAAGTTTCCTAATAGGCTATTTGTGATGGAGGGCTCCACATCCCAAATGGGTCAGGGCCCACCCAGGCTCAGAGTATGGATTAAGCGTGAAATTTTCAGTTTTTAAACTGTGGGATTGTATTGCCTTAGTGAAGCTGAGGGAAAATTAACCAGCTAGGTCCCATTGTCAGCCTTTTCTTACCTCTTAATAACTGTGCAGTACTGGTAGGTAATTCAATAAAAGATCCAAGAGGGCAGAATATATCTGAACACAGAGCATGAATCTTGAAATTAATGCAAGGCAGTGGTTGTGGGGCGGGCAGAGAGGCAGGAGAGAGGAGAATACCTTTTAAAACAGTTAATTCCTAAAGCCCTACCTTGTTATTTGGTCTGTCTCCTATTGGCTTGAGATTTAGGAAGAGAATAAACCAAACCAAACCAAACTCACTCAGTTGATTCTGACTCATAGCAACCCCTGTTGGGTTTCCAAGGCTGTAAATCTTTACAGAAGCAGACTGCCCCATCTTTGTTCTGCAGAACAGCTGGTGGGTTAGAACAACCGACCTTTTGGTTAGCAGCCAAATAAATGCCTTAACCACTATACCACCAGAGCTTCTTAGGAAGAGAATAGTATAATAAAAATGAATGGAAAAAAACCCCCTATCATCGGAAGGAAGGTTGGGCAATCCTACTTCCGTAGTGATACTGCCTCGGAAACCCAAGGAGGGGTCGCTAAGAGTCAGGGCTGACTCGACGGCACATAACAACAACAACAACATCATAGTCATGAGCCATCAAAAATTCCCTGTTTGGGAAAATAAGTATTTCTATCTGTGAGCTTTATAGTTGAATTCTAAAGAGCAAGATAAATTCTTATAGATCACATTTGATGTATGCATCTTATATGTCAGACACTATTTTAAACATTTTTTGAGTATTAATAACCATGAAAAAATAAAAGAAAAACCAAAACCACACTTGCTGCCATCGAGTCATTTCTGACTCATGGCAACCCCTGTTGAGTTTCTGAGGCTGTAAATCTTTACAGAAGTAGATCTCCCCATCTTCCTTCCATGGAGTGGCTGGTGGATTTGAACTGCTGACTTTCTGGTTAGCAGCCAAATGCCTTATTCACTATGCTACCAGTGTTCCTTAATAACCATGAGAAGTAGGTATATTCCTGTTTTAAAAATGAGGAAAATGAGGCACAGAGTGGTTAAGTAAATTGCCCAAGATCACACAGCTTGGAAATGATAGAGCCATTAGAAACTCCACCACTTTATATTGCCTCACTATAAAGAAACCTTAAGGAGTCCTGCTGGTGCAATGGTTAAGTGCTCAGCTGCAATCCAAAAGGTTAGAGGTTCAAACCACCATCAGCTCTGTGGGAGAAAAGACCTGGTGATCTACTCCTATAACTAGTACAGCCTAGGAAACCAAATGGAAAAGTTCTACTCTGTCCTATAGGGTCACTATGAGTTAGAATTGGCTCAACATAAAGAAAACCTTAATAAATACATTCTCTGTAACTTCTCAAAATTGAACCTGCATTTATTTTCATGTTTTCTAGAATATTAAGAGGAAAGAACTTTTTGAAAGGAGGGAGTGGTTTCATGTCACCTACATGATTTCTCTAGCTACTACCTGCACATTTTTGAAGAATGTTTGACTCAGCGGTCGAGAGTGGTTGACTAGTTGGTAACCAGATTATGTTGTGTCAAATTTTAAAAAGCCAGATTATGTAGGAGAACATAGGTTCTAAAAACTAGTTTGGTTGTATCCTAGGCCTTAAAGTGAGAGGTCCAACGTAAATTAAAATTAGCCTGGGAGGAAGTGCAAGGGAATTGGTTTTAGGCAATTTGGTTTCAATTTGTCTCTCTCTTCCCCAGGCCCTGGCAATCATGGAAATAGTTCATGGCAAAGACCACCCGTACATTTCTGAGATCAAACAAGAAATTGAAAGCCACTGAAACTATGCAGCATCTTAGTTTTTATTTATATACTAGTGCAGAAACCTTAAAGAATTGGAATATTTCAAATCTCACACATCACTCCAGCTTCTGTGGAAAAAAAAAAATTGGAATGAAAACACATGCACTTAAACCTTTCCCATTGCTTTCCTGGAGGTTGGTCTTAATCTTTAACCTTAATATCAAATTAATTTTTTGAATGCCATTTTTTCCCTTAAGAGATATGGCATGGTTTCTTGTAGTCTAATGTATTTTGGACACCTTGCGCTTAAAAAATGCAATTATTTTTCTCTTCGTGGCTGTTATTTGGATAGATTGAATTTTAAAAATGCAATTATTTCCCCCTTCATGTCTATTGTAATGTGCTGAACAAACCTGAATGATGAAGGAGAATAAAAAAAGATAACAGTATTTGAGATTGGTGTTTTATTCTTTCTGTGGGGAGGATTTCTAAAGTGGTGCTGGGAGCTCACCCCTTGGAGTGGAAGTGACACTCGCGTTGTATACACCAGTGACGCCGGGTGTCCCCTCAGCTAATGGAGTCAGGGCCTCTGTAGTCTGCAGTGTTTCATGTACAGAACCCAGGAAGGAAGAGGACAAGATGAAAGAAGGAACATGCAAGAAGGAAAGAAAGCTTTCTGTGGTAGAGGACGACCAAATGACAAGAGCCCCACTCCCGGTCCCGAGAGCATGTCTGTTTTAATTCTCTGTGGAGGGCTGGTAGACCTGAAATGCAGAAAGGTGCTAAATGAGAGCTTTGCTCCCTTGGCTTTGTTATTAATGCTATTAATCTGTCTGAAAGCAGACGTTCCATCTCACATTCTCTTGATTGTTCTGAGCGGTACTCTTCCTTGTTTGGGAAGAGTCCGGGGTAAGCTTGAGAAGGAAGAACAATTTTTTTCCCTTACCAGCTCTCGTTGAGCAAATACTGATTTCCACCCACACTGCCAGCAGGAATCCTGCTCTCTGCAGCCCCACAGCCTGCCAGCAGCAACCTGGTGAATGGTTTTTGTTAGCGCCTGCGACCGAGAAGGATGGCACTGGCTCCTGTGTGCAGGGTTGTTTCTTTTAGGAAAGTTTCTTGGAGTTCAAAGGAAGGCATTTCCCCATCAGTTAGTAATTAAAGCCTGTTGGGGTTTACACTTGAATTATCTTTCATTGTCAGGATCTGAAAGCTGCTTGAGCAGCTTTAAATCTGGTGTGTTACTCTCCTTTTTTCCCTCATCTACACACCCGACACCTCTCACACACCATCAACTGCCAAAAGTGAGATTCAACAGGGACCATGCATTCTCTTGTCTGGGGAAATCCAAAATGCCATTTACTGATCACCTACTCTATGAGAGGTGTTCTGCGCTCAGAGATGAGCAAGGCATAGTCCCAGCCCCAAAACGCAAACTCACTGCTGTCGAGTAGGATCCGACTCATAGTGAACGGTTTCCAAGGCGGTATCTCTATGGAAGTAGATTGCCCAGCCTTCCTTCCAAGGAGTGGCTGGTAGATTTGAACCACTGGCCTTCTGGTTAGTAGTCAAGTGCCTTAGGCTCTATGCCACCCGAGCTCCTTCAGGGGAGGTTAGAGTTTTAAAAATACTAACTTCCCATAACTGGTGTGCTAATCCTAAGTAAGTTTAGTTCATCATCTCCATAGGTTTTATAAAACTATGAAAGTACTGTTTGCTTTTAATAGATTTAAATGTTTGAATTTGCACATGCAAATTTTATTTACATATATAATTTACAATGTCATATACAAATGTACATGCGAAAAGTGAACTGTTCTTCTTCTTTGCTAGTCCCATTCCCCAGAGGTAACCACTGTAAACAGTTTGCTTTGTGTGGTTCCAGCTATTTGCATGCCTATAACATTGAAAGGAGCCGGTGGCACAGTGGTTAAAGCACTCAGTTGCTAACTGATTGGCGATTTGAACCATTAGCTGCTCCTTGGGAGACAGATGTGGCAGTCAGCTTCTAGAAATATTTTCAGCCGTAGAAACCCTATGGGGCAGTTCTGTGTCCTATAGGGTCACTAGGAGTCAAAATTGAATTGATGGCCATGAGTTTTTTTGTTTTTTCA